CCTACACACCAAAAATAATGAAAATATGTTGTTCTTGTCCGGACTTATTGGCTTTTAAACATTTCGCCAGAAAGTGCCCTGCAGTTCCAGAACAAGCCGCTAGGGGGCCCAAACTCATGACTTCTTCCCAAGCACGAGAACTACCTTCCATCAAAATTTCATGACCCTAGCATGTCCAGATCGCGAGATATCGTAAAACACTGTAATTATAGAATTTCCTCATTAATTATGCAAATAAAGTCCTCATTTGCGCAATTCGCATTTAATTATGTACATCTCTCTCTCAGCTACCTACACACTAAAAATAATGAAAATATGTTGTTCCTGTCTGGACTTATTGGCTTTTAAACATTTCGCCAGAAAGTGCCCTGCAGTTCCAGAACAAGCCGCTAGGGGGCCCAAACTCATATGACTTCTTTCCAAGCACGAGAGCTACCTTCCATCAAAATTTCACGACCCTAGCATGTCCAGATCGCGAGATATCAAAACCGCAGTGCAGTACCAAGGGAAGCCACTAGGGGGACCAAAATCTCATCATTTCCAGTTTTCGTCACACCCTACCAACACACCAAGTATGAAACCAATCCATCCAGGTGTTCTTGAGTTATCTTGTTGACCAACAGACAGACGGACGGACGGACGGACAGATAAACGCAACTGAAAATATAACCTCCATGACACATTTCATGGAGGTAATTACTCAAAGTTTCTTGATATGAAAACAAGAAAATTTAAGAATGTTATTCTAGTTATGACTTAATCTTTGTCTTCTAGTTTCAATATCTTGAATATTCTTGTTTTTCTTAGCAATATATCTCAAGAAAGGTTAGATCAAAATTCTTGTTTTTTCTGACACAGCCCAAGAAAAGCAAGAACTTCCTTTCTCAAAGTTTCTTGATATGAAAAACAAGAAAATTCAAGAATGTTATTCTAGTTATGACTTGTTTTTTAAACCCTGCTTTTCTTGTTTTTCTTACTATGAGAAATACAAGAAACCTAAGGGAAAAATTTTCTTAACCATGGCAAGAAAGTAATTCTTCAGACAAGAAAAACAAGACCATTTAACTCAATTTTCTAGAACATTCTAGGGGGAGAAAATCAATGCTAGAAATTATTTCTTTACGTAAGAAAAATAAGAAAATGTTTCTTGTAGTGAAAATTTACAAGAAAAAATTTTTAGAACGATCTGTTGCTCTTTTCTTATTTATTCTTAATTTTTCTTGAAATTTCTTCATGTAAGAAAATTTGTCCACAAATTAAGAAAAACAAGAAAAATCATTTTTGGTAGTGCAGAAAATTAGCAAAAAAATATGTTTTTATATTTATTTTGAATTATTTTGAATTAACGGTTAGTACTTTGGTAATTCATATTTAGAAGATGGCAGATATTTTATTTAAAATATGAGATGTTGTGGAATCATGCCAATCATTTTGATTAGTGCCGAGTTCGTTTTACATTTCCTGTTTATTCAGTCCACGCGCATGAAATGATATGAAATTGTTTATATGCGAATCACACATCATGAACTTTGACCCATTGGCTGCAGTACGTGTTCCAATCGCGGGGCGACTCTTTTGACATGGTTCTAAACCGGGCAATGAATGAAACTCCAAAACACGGTCATGAAATATACGCCGTGTGTCTGATTGTTTTAGTCTGACTGGGCAACAAATTGGAGGTAAGTCATTCTTATTTCTAAGGCGGCACGGTTGTCATTTACATGGAAAAACTATTATACTAGATACTCAGCGAGGACAGATCATGGAAATCGAGAACCTTTGTCGTGATTTGGTACATACATATCATAATTCACGTCCGGTCCACGCCATATTTTCACGACTTTTCCCTCGCCATTGGCTCTATATTTGGTATGAGTGTATGAACACGAAGACTGTGAACTTCATACATGTTGATTTCAGTGCCATTCTGGGTCATGGTTCACGTGTTTTCATGCTCATTTCACGACATACACATGTAATTTTTTTTCATCACTACTCTGTAATTCAAGGCCCCATGCAGGGCGGCCGCCATGTTTTTGCATGTATGAAATTTTGAAAACCATGTCAGTCAGGCATGAATAGTGTATATGTAGCGTCTCGTAATTACGTTATGCTTTCTGAGAAATGTGGTGGTTCTGAGAGATCTTTGTTCTGTTGTTTTTACATTTACAGCAATCCGGTTTGTTTTGTATACAGAGGGATACTGTATGAAAGCCCTAAATTTTGACAGGTTTATGGAAAAGGCTGGGCTGTCTCCTGGGCTGGCTATCAGGTCAGGGTACACCTGGTACGTGTACACCAACAATCATAGTACACTAATTTGAAAAAGCACCAAAGTATAGAGTTGCGCCAATTGTGCAAAATGTTACATAACTCACAGTTAGACCCCTCATGGTCCTTAGTGAGTTTTTGACAGTAAACAGTTTAACTGCAACATATAAGTGTATTGAAAAAAAAATGTATTTTCAGGTAAACATGGCAAGACTGATTCACTATGACGACCACGCCATCAAGGTTCTTCAGTACTTGGATCACCAGCGTAGAGCTGGAAAAGCATGACATGCAACATAACGGTCAAGATAGAAGGCAGATATTTTCCCGCACACAAAATCATCCTCTGTGCTTCATCCGGATACTTCGAGACCCTGTTCAAAGCGCAAACGGGAGAAACAAGAGAGGTAGAACTTTCAGGGTTGACGACGCAAGGTTTCTCCGCCATGTTGGAAATGATGTACGCGTCTCAAGTTCAGATTTCTACTTCAAACGTGATGGAGGTACAAGTGGCGGCCAGTTACCTGCATGTCATGGACGTCGTGGCGGACTGTACGCAATTCCTCACGAACAGCCTCGCGTCAGGGCACATGGTAGTGTATCTCAGGCCACAAGAATTTAATTCCTTGGTTAACGGATTCACCCACTTCATTTTTTTCTGAGTTGCAAAATAAAATTCAGAATCAACTGCAAAAATGCTCATATTTTGCCCTGAACAGCTGTAAACAGTCCTTTTCTTCCTAGTTGTTACAGTTATTCCATGTTCCAATGCAGTGGTAGTTTAAAATTCATTGTCTAAGATTTACCGTGTGTTGACTTCATGGCTCCTATCGTACCATTTTGGGCCATAATAGGATCCTTAGGCCTGTTTTGATTTTTTTTTTCGCCCGCCCGCTCCATTATTTTTCTAAAAAAATCTGTTAACCAAGAAATCAAATTGGTGTGGCCTTAGGTTTTAAGTGATTATAGATCTAATTTCAAAATCTAAACAAGTACTACAACATTTATTATTATTCTGACACTAAGATGCCAAGAATATCCTGTATACTATTATAGATTTGATTATTATGTACAAAAATACCTCTAGAAATATTGAAAACACGTCCTATAAAAATATAAGAAAAGAATTGGGTGCACAGCTCCAAATTTGGGTGCACCAAGGTGCTTATGCACCCAGTATTTCCGGCCCTGTATTATCAGTAATACATCAGTTAACCAACTTTTCTCTCATTCACAGATGAGTAACATCATGGCAGAACGTGTGCTACAGTACCCCTCCCACCCTGCCAGAGTACTGCAACACCTGGACTCACTCCGCAAGGAACACCCTTCCTCATGTGACATTACCATCATTGTCAAGGACAAATCCTTCCCCGCACACAAATTCATACTCATGGCATCCTCCGGATATTTACAAACAGTCCTAAGTGGTAAACAAAACATAGATGAGATTGAGTTACAAGGGCTTGCACCAGAAGGGCTTTCCGCCATATTGGATATGATGTACACATCGCAGCTGCAGCTGACCGCGAAGAACGTTATTGACGTACAAGTGACAGCGAGCTATCTCCATATGATGGACATGGTCGCAGACTGTACGCAGTTTTTAACCGAGTGCATCGCATCGGGTTGTATGACAAATAATCACATCGCAGGCAGAGATTGTGAACTCAAACACGGGATTGCCAACCCCAACTCAGAGACTGGAAGCTTGTATCAGTTAGCAACAACTGAAAAATCCAAACACAACACTGATAATCCAAATAAAAGTTCATCTGACAGGTCCACAGTACATGAAGCACCATCTCCAGTACAGCAAAATTGGGCCTTTAGTTCAAATTCTTCAAACCACTCTAATAACTCTGAGAGTGAAGTTGTCATTGTGAAGAGAGAGTCTGAGGATTTGGAAGATGTGAGGACATCTGAGGGCCAAACCCAGCAACAGACAAATGCTCTGTACTTTGAAGAAGTCTATATGGACAGTAGAGGAGTTGGTAGTAGTGAAAGGGAACAGAGTCAGGCATTACCAGTGTCAAACATTCATGGAAATGACTGTCATCAACAAGGACAGGGAATACAGGAACTTCAAACTAAAATAGCATTTTCAGGTAAGTAAGTTATTTCACAGTGTAGTCATCTGGTGAATTTACTGGTAGGGTACATCCATCCTAACTTATTGGCTCTCTAATCTTTGCATATTATTATTTTTTCTTAGAGGCAGGTGGAAGAATAATGGAACAGCCATCCTGTGGAAGTAGATCAAGACACTTAATAATAGAGTTTATTAGCCACAGGGTCATCATAGTATAAATTACAATGTAGGCCGATTAGCAGCTTTCAACATTTTCAATACTGCATTCTTAGAAATTCATAATTTCAAGAAGGGGGGGGGGGAGTAACAAGCTATATAAACTGACAAAGCTCTAGATAGGTATGAGCCAAGTACTGTAAATCACTTTATATTTGTGGTACTTTTACATGTATGGTTTTCACAGTAACTTCTGTACTGTATAGTATAAATCCTATGTAAGCTGTGAGTTAGTATATTTTTGTTGTGACAGAGTAGGTTTACATAACATGGGTTGCTGATTGACGGGCAGAATGACAGGACAAACTGTTAGACACAAGAAATGCATGGTGTGAACACAGTTGTTACAGATCAGGTAAGTGTGGAGTCCTGACCCCACCCCAGAACTTAAGAAACCTAAAATATGAGGATTAGTCCGAAGTTTCTAACTAAAATTTCCAGTAACTGTATTTCCAGAATTAGTCTGAAGTTTCTGTTTTTTTTTTTCTAAACTAGACAGTTCAGGTATGTGTGGAGTCCTGACCCCACCCCAGAACCAGTTCCAGAGCCGGCTGTGTCAGCAGGAGTGTGACATCATGCACTACAGCAGGGAACACATGCTGGACAAACATGGCACCAACAACCTCGCCAGGAACTGGTTCAGGGTGAGGTGATACATCACATATATGCAAATTAGGCCACACCAATTTAATTTGTTGGTTCACGGATTCGCCCACTTCATTTTTTTCTGATTTGAAAAAAAACAAAAAACATTTCAGCCTCTAAATCAACTCATATTTTGGTCCCAATAGTTTAAGAAAGTCCCCTCTCTTCAGAGTTGTTACAGTTTTTCCATCTATCAATGCAGTGGTTTGATTAAAGGTTTGAAATTTAATGTTTGAATTACAAACCAGCCTGATATGTTGACTTCATGGCTCCTATCATGCCATTTGGGGATATCATAGGATACCTTGGTCTGTTTTTATTTTCCTTTTTTTTCGCCCTGTCGCTTCATATTTTCTCTGAAAAAATCCGAGAACCAACAAACCAAATTGGTTTGGCCTTATATGTAGGCAAATTAGCCAAGGCCTAGAAAAAAAATGTTGTGCTTCCTGTTTACCAACCGACCCTACAAAAACCTGCCAACACTAGGCTTTTTTTGGGTGGACCCCTGCAAGGAACGTATATTTTCGAGCTGATTAACCTTTTCTAGCTGCTTGTTTTGACACCTGGGTGATAAAACGTTGTACAATTGGTTTTCCAACATTGACATTGAAAATAAAAATGTCCTCATGCAAGTTTTACTTTGTTAAACTGTATTGTATAAGTTGGATATCACTGATCTCTTTTTAAGGACTGAAACAGGAAACACAACATTTTTTTTCCTAGGCCCAACCGTCTACTGTAATGAAATGGCAATCACTCATATTGTTAGAGTCGATGAGATTTCAGAAGGAGAGATTATACATGTCAGTGTAGATGTAGATTTTTTTTATTTTATCTTTCTTGACCTCTCAGGGTTTAAAATATTTTTTTGCTTGGGTTGCCTCTTTTTTCTCACCTCCTTTCACAGGATAAAACCCCAATAAGCAAATAGCTGCCATGCTGTCTCTTATTATTTATGTAAAGTATTGCTCACATTCACACAATTGTCAGCATTTGCATGCCTGAATTCAATGAGTGCACTTCACAGCATAACTATATATGCTATAACACACCTGACTTGTTGCACTTTTATCGTATTTTGCAAGGGGGCACTTTAAAGTACACACAATTGGTTGGGCTGCCCACCCCCCTTGGACTGAACCTTGTTTTTCGCCAATTGGACTGGACATTGTTTTCCACCAACCCCAGGTTGCCCACTGTGTGACCTAACCCAAAAGCTAGGTTGGCCATCTATATTTCAGGTTGCTGTCAACACTGTCTGTTTATTTTAGAAGGCAAGCTGTGTTTAGCCAGCCACCTGATGTTTAAAGATAATTTGCTCACATACTGGCTAAATCAGACAGTTTATTTGAGAAGCCATTTAATATCGAGCCACTAAACTTTAAAAAGTTCACTTTGTATGCCAAAAAAAATTTACATCAATATTCTTGTTTACACCTAACAAGAAATTTCTGTTGTATACATGTAGTTTTTAGTGGGGCACCATAAAACAATGTCATATATTACTGGCTATATACACTAATACAGAACAGATACTAGTACAGATCCACTTGTGCACAGTACTTTTATATATTATATACATACAGTACGAAAATGTAATAGTATGTACCGGTTAACCCTGTACAGGTTATGTGCCTGATGTTATACCTGATAGTATGCAAGCCTACTAGATACCTAATCCACACCTACCATTCATGAAATGTGCTTCCCTGTATTTTTGCGGTGTCTTACAGAGAGTGGTGAGAGAAACAGTGAACCTGTACCAAATAACAGGCCTGAGAAGTGTGCACATTGATGATGCAATGAAGGAGGTGAGATTTTCTGTTTAACAGTTTTGGTATCATTATTAAATATTGTACAATGTAATAAGTCTATTTGCATGTAATACTAACTGCATGTTGTATTCAACTTCATCATTATTATCCTTAGGCCACTCCGACTTAATTTCATGGATGGCATCCTCTGAAGACCCCCCAAACTAGTGCGCGCGGGCTAATAAAAAAAATTCCGGCCAAAAATAAAAATGCTACTAAACCACAGGAATACTCTGTACAAATTTAAGCTGGTATCCTAAATTTGCGGCAGTACATAGCAACGCATAAGACAAGCCGGCACATTCTGGCACATTTTGCAGAATTTATAAATCGGCACTGCACGTATGTACTGTCCTTGAGTCGTGGTGCCATCCCCTCAGAGCTAGAGTTACCACCGGCTCCGTATTGTCGCTAACTACCCAGGCCTAGAACCTCACTTCATTTTTTTTTTTTGAGAACAGCCAAAAATCAATGCGTACGCGGATCCATAAAATTAAGTCGGTGTGGTCTTATTAAGAATAAAACTGTAAAATCTGCATCACCCTGACCACGGGTCAGATTGCCTGTAGGTTGGAGGAAGGTCCTACCCGTGGGAGGGTTGGGACCACTGTGTTTTACTCTGTACATGTATTTTATTTATGCCAAGAAAACCTACCCAACAAAACACACATTTCAATACAATTTACAAAACTGCCAAAATTAATTGTAGTCCCTAAGCAAAAAAAAAGGCAAAATCTATCGAAATATCTGAATCTACAATTCTAGAATTGTAAAATCTAAAAATTGTAAGATTCTAACATCTAGAATTTTAGGAAGCATTGTATGCGGCAAAGGCAAAACATGTTTGAATTATTCTTGGAAAATTTGCCTGTGGGGGAACCATACCGGACATACATGTATGCCCTGTATGTACCGACGCATAGGAAAAGGTCCGCAGGATGCCAGTGACTCGACTTAACCTGGGCTATATCAGGTCTCTGTTAGGGGACCCTGAGAGTGACATTGCTGACCTGGCAACAGATCGTCAATGGACCTATTGCATTACTACGTCACAGTTTGTTTACCGCAATGAATGCCGGTCAATTAATGTTTAAAATAATATTGTACAGTGGTGCGTAACGCGCTGTGTGTTTGTGTAGCGTTAGACTTAATATAAGGCCTACTACTTTCGTCTAATGTCACAACTAAATCACTCATTACGGCATATAATGCTAGCGCTGTGTCAACAAAACAAGACCCAGCAAAAATAATCCAAACCTGACTTTGTTGAAATTATCTTTATTCTTGAATTGACTGTTCTAGAATGTTCTTTTAAGAACATGTTAACAAACTGTGACGTAATAGTGCAATACGTAGGTCTATTGTGGAAACTAAACTAGTAGTCGACTTCAGCACAGCCGGACAATGATGATGAATATTAAGTATAGTTTGAATTTGAGACTTGAGCTGTTTTCCCTCCTTCAGGTGTTTCGTCGCTGCCCATCCCTGAACCCAGATGATGTCTGGGACATCCGCCGACAGTTCAGGAATTTTATTTCCAACAAGACTGGACATCTTAGCAGGAAGTGAGCTGCAATTCTGAATTTTAGTGTAGGCTGGAGCACACATGCACACACACACACATGCACACAAACACACATGTACACACACAAACACACATGCACACACATTCACTCACATGCACACACAAACACACACATACAAACACATGTACACACACACACACACACAAGCACACACATGCATGCACACACACACACATGTACACACACACACACACACAAGCACACACATACACGCATGCACACACACATGCACACACACACACATGCACACAGTCACATACATGTACATACATGCACACACTCATGCATGGATGCACACACACACAGGCACACACATGCACACACATACATACATGCACATTAACATACACACGCATGCACACACACATGCACACAGTCACACACTCACACATGCACACACACACACACACACACACGCATGCACATGCTCACACACATGCACACATATCCACATCCACACACACACATGCACACACACACAATTATTCATTCACACACACCACACACACACTACAGTTGGTATCTATTATATTATAATATAGATAGAGTGATAGATAGATACTAGATAGATACATGTAGATGGAATCAGTAAAGGGCATCAAAATTCATAAAAGTAATGCAGGTACATTGTATTACATGTACATGTATCTGTCAACTGTCTGTGTGTTTCTGTGTTTCGGGATATTTCTGGTCAGCATAAATTAAGAAGGTAGGAATGGATCATTATATTTAGTAGATACTGGTCTGCACCCAGAGTAGGTCTTGAAGTATGATGGTCAATATTCATTATGGGCATCCTGGTGGCTTTCTTGGTATTGACAGTAGTATGAAGGAAAACTTCCTTTTTCATCTTTTTTCCTGTTTTTTAAAGCCTTGTGATCAATTAATTTTGCATTTCTCTTAGGGAAAGAGGGTACTTGGTACCATCCAGAAGAGGGGGAGGCCAGAGAAGGACCCAGGACACCCCCCTGTCCCCTGCAAGTAGTACGTCCTCAGCCAACGTCCCTTCAGGAGGGGAGGACAGCATGGAACCTCATGAACAAGAAGGTGGGATTTCAACATTTTCTAGGAATGATAAGTTCAAGGTTTATGATATGGAAATGAAGAAAAAATGAGGTATTGTTTTTGGTGTGTGTGTCTGTGTTTGTGTCTACCTGCATGTGTTCCTGCACATTTATGGGGAACATGATTTTAAAAAGTCCTGAATGAATTTATGATTTTGGTATACAGTCTTGGGAAATCAAAGGTCAATGTCAATTATAGGCCTCCTGGCAGCTGTCCTTGGTGCTGCAGCAGAACTTCCAGTTTTTGCATTTAGTGAAATGTTCAAATGAAATGCAGTCAGAGGATAGGACTTTAACACCATACAATATGTGTGTTTTGGTACAGAAGACCACCAATTAAGATAGATTGTGCTAATTGAAACCTCAGTTTTCATAATAAATGAGACAAAATAAAACAAAATTTACACTGAATATTTCATGGAGGTATGAGGTATCTAACCTCATTTCCATTGTATTGTAGTCTAAAGAAGTTGTAAATTATGACAGACTGATTTAATGAAGATGACTTCAGGGTAGATTTGTTGTATCATAGGCTTTTGAATTTAAAATGTATTTCTTAAACTAAAGATAAAAAAAGTAATCTATACACATGGAATGGTACATTGACTAAAAGTGTCATGTTGTTTTCAGATTTGGAGTCTAGTGAAGGTTGATGGAGGGATGCCACAAGCTTTACGATGTGCTCCAAGGCTGCAGCTGGTCATCAAAAACTAGTGCAACCTCTTTTTATATCCTACATGGCCAATCTTTGTTATAATAATTATGTTTACCAATTGAAAGGAAAACATATTGTTTTTGCTCTGTTTCATCTTCTTCTTCTTCTCCAAACCAATAAGGTCAATGACCTGAACCAGACGTCTGTCACTATGGTAACTGGGTTGGGTAACATCATGTTGCAATTTTATAGCAGGAGGGATTAAGACTTCTGTCACCATATATATATGAATGTGTTTGAGTAAGAATTAACAGAGCAGACCACATGTGAAGGTAAACATTATGCATTTGCTTTGAAAATGTTACGTTTGTCTACTTTTCAACATGTACAATAATTTTTGGTGCTACCAGAATGTAAATAAACATGGCTGTCAGCTGAGTTTCTTACTATTAAACACATTCCACAGTGTCCTTTTCCTGAATAGCAGGTATTTGCAGTATACTAGTGGTGTTGATTCAACTCACTTCAAATATGTAAAGACCTTGTATGACGTAGCTCTCAACCATAATTACGTTGGTTGGTTTGTTTGTTGGTTTGGTTGGTTGGTTGGTTGGTTGGTTGGTTGGTTGGTTGGTTGGTTGGTTGGTTGGTTGGTTGGACCATTAGAAGACGATTTCGAAAATCCACCCAATTTTATATACCAATATTTGATTTTTTTAAATTCTGAAATGCAAAGATCATGTGGGGTATGCTGTTCAAGTCATACTTATTGACGCGGATTGGATTTTCAGAATGCAAGGCCATGTTGATTTGATTATATGGATGACATCAGCGCGCGCATGAACTTTAGGCCGTTTCCAAAAAAAAAAGTTTTCAACCATACTGTAAATCGTACAAAACAGTTGCAAAATGAGCAAACATATACCATAAGTTACAAAAGAATAAGTAAAAACTATACCAATGTCGTAGAATGCCAAAGTCAAACGAAAAAAGATGAAATTGTAAGGAAATTAACTTGAAGATTAGATTATTCGCCAAACCATATTCTGTGCCATTTGTTCAACCCTCTTGACCACGTAGATTTCATAATGAAAACACCTTTTTTTTTTGCAAAACTTTTTTTTTTATTCGCACGCTTGTATCAGTTTTGGTGCTCCCGGAGGATGTCATCCATATAATCAAATCAACATGGCCTAATGCAGGTCTCCTACTTATTGCTCGTGAAGCAAATAGCTTACGTCTACGGCAATAGGATGAAAAAAGAAAGCCAATGAAATAAATCAAAGCATGATGACAAATACTAGTAGCCCTTTCCCTTCTCAGACAGTCATGCCTATAAATGTTTACGCTTTGAACATCAATGAAGCACGTCAAATTTGAAAAAAAAAAGCTTCAAGCTCTGCAACCTCATATGTCAAGCCTTGTTTTGGGGACAAGAATTTCCTTTCAATTCTATTTCAATATTCAAACACAGGTTGTGTCCTTCCTCAATGTGTCCATGACAACATGCGTCACTGTCTCCATAGCAACATAACATAACATCTGCCTTTTCTGTCTCTTTAGAGAAAATTTAATTACATATTCCATTCCAACAATTCCACCTGTTACAAAGAGCATATCACTGACAGGGAGTTTGGTTAAAAATTGTTCTATCCGCAGTACCCTTGAATTACTGTAAATGCATTCACTTTTGCTGTTGTTTCTATTATTATTACACGGAGGGAAAATGATGTTTTTATGTTTAACGTTTGCTGCCGAACTTTAAACAACTCTGCAGTGGAGTAGATTTAGCAAACCACAGTTGTGGTGTGATTTTGCGGTAAAAGGTCACAGCAAAAATAGTAAAAACATCAAATGGACATTCTATTTGAATTCTATGCTAATTCGTTTATTTCCATACTCTTTAGTCCATGACTAGTCTTCCAGGGTTCAAAACATATGAATATACTGACAACAAAATTAAAAGAGAGTGAACACACATAATCATCACAAAATATACACAGGTTAAACAAAACAATCATATATATAACTTAACTTATGTACAACTGGTGGATGGCCTTTTTTTAATTGATGTGGAAGTATTGAAGTGGAACAATCACTTTATAACACATTTACCCCTACTGCAAAGCTGAATTTGTCAGGTTTCTTTTTGTACAAATAGTGGAATGTCGACTCCGGTGTTTTAATGAGCTACAACCAAAAATTATTTAAGAACGAGTCCAAAAATACATTGTGTAGAGAGTGCTTTATGTACGAATGGCGAATGACTGACCCCTCCATAACAAGAGTTCAAAGATTTATCATCTAAAATTCATGTCTTCGTCACGAAATATCAAAATCGGAAGTTTTGTAGTACCAATAAGCCGCTCTGGAGTTCAAAATCTAGTCATCTTGAGATCTCATCAAGGCCTACCAACCTACATAGTTTTGTGACATTCCATCCATAGCTTCTTGAGTTACTAGTATCATGCTATATCACAAAAACATACATGCAAATGCGACAAAAAACATGATCTTCTTTAGGCAAGGGTAATAAGTCCATCGCAATCTTTTCATTATTTACAGTACGATGAACAGGAAATCCTGCATCTTTCAAAAGTATACCGGGCACTTGCATTGCTCACACTAAGTCCAGGAGCTGTGCTATAAATTCGCCAGACAACTCACTGTTCACCTAAAAAATTCGTAAACTGGCTACCATCCTACCATGGCGAAATTATATTGTGTACAATATCCATATAACACACTTTTATGCAATCTATTGTTATGTCAGATTGTTATGTCAGATTGTTCTGGGAGGCCGTTGCTTCTAACTTATGCTTGCCAAAAAGCACCATTATTATGTCTATTGGTAAAACGACTTACATGTACGAAGTTTATTTTAACAGTAGTTCCTTTGCAAAGGCCGGTAGCGTGCATTACTTTATGGTGCAAATGTCATGCTTAACTGCCAGCAGGTGTCTGCACTGACGCACGCGATTTTTAATACAAACCGTTTTCTTTGGCCATTAGAAGACGATTTCGAAAATTCAGTCCTTTTAATTCTTGCATGCAATATGGTATTTAATTTATAATTCATAACGTCAATGGGAAATGGTTTGGATTTTCAGAATTCAATGCAGAGCCCCAACTAATGCTATTGGCCCGTGATGCAATTAGCTGACGTTTACTGTCATAAGCCAATGAGATCAGCACACGGCTCACAATGTCATATACCATACCAACACGTCCTATCCACACAGATCAGACAGCCTTGTCACATAGGCGCAGCTACATCTCCCTCCAGCCTTCATATAACTATATCAACAGTACCGCAGATGTCTTGCTGAAGTCTCAGTCCCTTTGGGCGGCTGCGTTTTACCAGAATCCGATTTCCGATTGGTGTTTGTCCGCAAAAATCACTGATGACAACCGCACGGCGTAGAAAACTACAGTGGTAAATATTTGGACACGTTATCCGCCACGACAACCTGGCTAAGACCATTGAACAAGGAACACTGGAAGGGAAACGACGGCGAAGCCGACAGAAGGAAGTCTGGCAGGGCAACATCAAAGGACCGGACGCCCCTCACCGTCCACCAACTCCTGACAGAAGCCAACGATAGGAAAATCTGGCAACACTGCTGCGAAGACCAGTGACAGTCATATGACTAGGTAGGTAGCTTCACCATGTTCAACAACAGTACCGTTCTTCCGTTGGTTACCATGGATACATCACCAGATGACAGGTTTGACTGGCAGATCCCCTGTATCTTATGGTACTTAAAAAACAACGAGACTGTGTCTTACGACCAAGCCCAAGCTGCTTGCTCCATGCACAAGTCAGTTGAAGAGTTGACAACGGTGAACAGAGTCATCTACTGGCTGACAGCGATTCTCATCCTCATTCCTAATGTTGCTATGTTCTTAGGAATCATTGGAACACGAAAGCTCCACAAACCGCTCTATTTCTATATGGCCAATCTTGCCGCATCGGACGTCCTTACAGGCATTGGACTCATGTGTTACAGTGAAACCTGGAAGGGAATGGGAGAGGGAATGACTGGACTGTATGTCTTAATGAACATTATGACACTCTTCCTGTACAGTCAGCTCATGTCTGCCTCGGCTCTAGCCCTACTGTCCATTGACTCCTATGTTGCCGTACGCCATCCTATCTATTTCCACACCCATGCCCATATCGCCAAACGTAATGCAGGTATTGCCATGGCCTCTTCGTGGATTGTTCTGACTTTGTTGACTTTCACACCCAGTATGGGTTGGAACTGCCTGGACATGACCATATCAGAGTGTTCTCAGTTCTTCCCCCGACCCTTTATCGGTCTTGTAGGTGCTATCATCATCCTTTTCGCCATCATCATGCTGTTCACAAACACCAGCGTGTATCTGGCGATCAGACAACGCCAAAAGAACAGGCTCGGGCAACCAGTTGAGACCCAGCCACTCCAAGGCAACAACCCGGCACAAAACGTGGCTGGGAATCCCCGGGCTCAAAACGTTGTACAGAACGAGGCAGATAGAAAATTCCAAAGAAGTGTGCGGAAGGCAAGGACGGTTCTGATTCATGTGATGGTGGCGTGTATCTTCCTGTTAGTACCACTTGCGCTCGGCCCGATATGTGACACTCTTGGAGAGAAATGCACACTTCCCGTTTCGCCACAATTCGCCGTGTTGGTACTGACACTCAACTCCGTTATCAACCCTATTGTAAGTATCGTCCGCACGCCAGACTTAAGAAAAGCAATTTGGGAAAAACTCGTGGCAATCCAAAGAGCACTTCGTACAGTTATGCGGGGAAACCGTGTAAATCCACAGGAAGACCAACCTGCACATGGGAATGCACTGGAACTGCAGGCAGCTGCTGCAGTTAGAAGTAAACAAACCACTTCATCATCACAGCAAACTGAAGGACAAAGCAAAACCGTGGTCAATCAGACTGGGGAGAGGCTAGAAGCAGTTTCCTTCACACCAAATAAGAGTGAAAACCTTGCCATCGTAGAAATTGACTGATTGAACATTGACGTAGACAGAAGTACACAGAAAATCAGAGGACAGAAACAAAATGTTTACCTTCACGGACAACAATTTTTATGGTAAGTCATGTGCATGATTATTTGTGCATTTCATAACACAGTTGAGGTCTTGTACATAGGTAGTGGTTTTTGAGTGTCCTAGGGTAAAGCTTCAAAAGAATGGATTTTGCCGTGCTTTGGCAGCGTCTTTCACAGTAAGTGAAAAACTTGAAAAAACGAACAAAAACAACATACTAAAACAAATGTACTAACACGAATGATGGGCAGCAATAAAAAGTGCATGTTTGACATTTTTTATGTTTTGTAATGAATAGTTTCTGTACTATTAAAAGTCAATTATCATTTGACAATTACATTTACATCAATTTTCTGTATGTATGGGTACAAAAATGTAATTTGTTAGAATACTGTAGATAATAGAGATTACATACAAGATTTTTTATGAATCCGCTGTTGCGAATTACGTACTTGTATATTACTTAGAAATATTTTGCTTGTGTATTGCATAAATTATTAATTGTCATTCATACCTATTGATGTTTGTACTTTTACGGAGAAAACAGTTATACAAGCAACTGAATACATGATGAAAACGTCCTGGCCTTTTAGGTGCAAAATGTAGCATCTTTTGTCAGTGACTGTAAAAAGACCTGTAGTCAACAGCGCAGGTACTCATACAAAACAATATGATATGAACAGCAGTTGATAAAGCGCTCTGTTCTCTTGATAGCTATAGCCTTGTATTTCATTCCAATATATTTATGAATGCTGTCTGATATATATATTGTACAGTGTGAGCATTATGTTGGATTCGTGTATGTAAATGTTTACGCTTAAATTGTTCTATCAATAAAATACGTCGAATTTGACAACCCTGTCAAACTCTGCATCGTCAATGTTTTTTAAAATCATATTCAATATATCCTTCTTTCTGGGACAAGGATTTCCTTTCAAGCCCTTGTCAATACTCAAAAACATGTCAATACTCAAATATGTCAAACACAGGCAGTGCCATGCGTCACTGTCTCTTTAGCAACATAACAAGACCTCTTCTCTTTCTGCCACTTCAGAGAAAATTTAATTACACATGCCATTCCAACAATTCCACATGTTACAAAACATATCACTATAGCTAGGAAGACGTCATAGAGTGTTTTATCTGCAATACCCTTGAATTACTGTAAATGCATTTACTTTTGTTGTTTGTATTACACGCTAGGAGGGGAAACTGGTGTTTTTGCAGACGTATAATTGAAACATTTCTGCAGTAAAGTACAATTACAAAACACAACTTTGTGGTGTTGTGACTTTACAGAAAGAGGCAAAAGGTAAATGTAATTTGATATCCTTAGGCGCCGCAGGGGTAATGGATTGTTAGTCTATTAGTCTAAGACAACGTACGTGTCTCTTCCACCGCCTTTTCGGCCATGTTGATTTGATGATATGGATGACATCCTCTGGGAACCCCAAGATTGATGCGCGCGTGCGAAAAGTTTTGCAAAAAAAGTTATTATTACTTTCATTACGAAATTTACGTGGTCATGAAGGTTGAACAAATAACACAGAGTATGCTTGGGCGAATAATCTACTCTTCAAATTCATTTCCTTACATGTTTGTCTTTTTGTTTTGTTTGATTTTGGCATTCTGTGTTGGCAACGTTTTTAAATATTTTTTTGCAACTTACGGTTTATATTTGCTAATTTTTCAACTGTTTGTTTTGTACGGTTTACAGCATGGTTGAAAACGTTTTTTTTGGGGGGGGGGCGGCGAAAATTTATGCGCGCGGATGTCATCCACATAAGTGAACCAACATGGTCTTAACCTCTAGGGCATAACATCCAGCCTGACATGCCAGGAATCGAACCCGCGACCTCTCATACAGCTATAGCCTAGCACTCGGCCACTCAACACCACAGCAAAAACCACAAAAAACAATGCCATCACAGTATGTTTGATTTAATCCGTATGTCTTGGTCCTCTTTAACGTGTTAGTTTGAATTACCTACATAACAATAACTTATGCTCCCGAGGTGTTTAACCACCGGTACCGTATAAACATTAATTAGGTTGTTGATGTCACTGACCGGGTGTTATGTCAAGGTAAACACCTTCATGTAGGAAAAAGTAGGCTCCTTAATTATTTAATGAACATTTTCTTACGTTTGTACAAAAACAACATTCATCGAACCTTTCAAATCATACTACCTGTTCTTGTAGTCTATATCACCCATGGTCATGGTGGACTAATTTCTGATAACAATTTCGAACATGCAACAGTTTTGTTAGTCGTTAGCTTTCAAATAGGTTACAAAATTTCGTTTGAATATGTCGAACTGATTTGTAAGACAGATCTGCTAGTGCATTACCGATACACCGAGCCTCTAGCCTGGAAGCCTCGTCTCACTAAATATTCTAATGATTAGAAAAGGTCTAATATTCTTTAGGTTTCTTTAAATGTTTTCACTGTATTAAGGTGACTACAGTAACATGAAAGTAAACTTATTTTAATCTTTTTTTTTTCTACGAACACGTCGAGTGTAGAGGAGAGAACTCGTTACTGTAAAGATCAAGGTTCACACTCCGTTTTGCCCCGTGAACCTTCCTCATGTGTGCATTAATTTTGTCCTTCCGTCCAAACCTCTTCCTACATTCCAGACACTCGTACGGTAAACTGTCGCCGTTATAATGTTTGGACTCATGATGCCGAAGAACTTCTCTCCTTTTGAACGCTTTTCCACACGTGCGGCATACGAAGGGCCGATCTCCGGTATGCAGTGTCCGCTTGTGTCGCCCGAGTTTGTCCTTCCGTTTAAAACTCACGCCGCACACGGGGCAGATGTAGGGCCGGTCGTCACAGTGCTTCTCTACCTTGTGTCTCGTCAGCTTACTGTGAACCTTGAAGCTAGCGCCACACAGCTCACATCTGAACGGTCTCTCGTCGCTGTGTTTGTAAATAGTGTGAGAGTGCAGGCCACCCTTGGTGCGATACTTCGCTCCGCATATGACGCACAGATTTTGAAACGTCTCCGATACTTTTCTCTCAGATTCCTGATTACCAAGAGCAGCCTTTGCCTCTTCTTTACTCTGGAGTGACCAATCTTTTTCCTCTTTCTCTTTCTTAACTGTCGTTGTGATTTTGTCACCAGCGTGGCTTGGTTCGCCGAAGGCTGTGTTACAAGTACTAAAAGGATATATGCTTACGTTAGGAAATTCTTCGCTTTTCAGGGGATTTTGCAGTTCGTTATGTGTATGTGTGTCTAAAGCAATGGGTGTGTTCAGAGAAGGCTTCTGGTAGCTGCTTATGTCCGTTTTTTCCGGATTATTCTTTGTTTTGCTGCTGCTCTGACTTCCACTTTCTAAGATGTGAGACATGAGGCCAGGGAACGCCTTCTGGCTCTGCATCTCCTCTGTTGGGCCAGTCCATAAGGAAGGATGAACAGTCGTGGGATGTCTTGAAGATGATCCAAGGAGGAGAGGGCCAGGGGGAGACGTCTGGCTCATCCGGACTGAAGATGATGCCAGTGGCTGGTCCCAGACTGAAGAGTTGTAGTGACTTTCAAAAGATGCTGACGCTTGAACCATCGCTGGTTGCTGCAGCGACGGCTCGATGTTGACATTTGGAATATTACCTGCAGAAGGACGGGCGTCTCTTCCAGCTGAGGCGGGAGTGGGTATGTTCCCGCCCGCCTGAGCCCGGCGACTCTCCCCGGAGACTAAGCGGAGAACACGGGCACCTCCGTCGGCGTCCATGAGAACTACGCCTTGGTGTACATCTCCAGTCTGGTCCGGACCATGTCCACAGCTACGCGGGGGTCCAGGAGCTTTGAAAGCCATACTGGTTACACATCTGATGCTCTTCCTCTGGGCGAAGTCACACCTTCAGATGGCAGGTAAAGTCTGCAAAAAAAAAAAAAAGAAGACAGATGACATAAATATCACGCATCTTGGACAACTGTATGCTTGGCTTCTTTAAAATCACAAAGCGACACATTATTACATCTGACGTATGTACATGTGCACATCTATTACTATCTTAACAATATTGAATGTGCAAAATTTGCGTAACCCATGAAAGGAGGACGGGGCAAAAAGGCTTCCAGGTGACTATGACCTCTCCTAACCCTTTACGGGCGTCATGTGCGCGATAGGTCACGTGTCAACAGTAGCTAGGTCAGTCAACTTGAAGAAGACCGCAGGCATACTTAGTCATTGTTTTTGCTTTAATTTCTTTTATTATGTTTTCTTCAAATTAGATAGGCTTTTAAATTTACCTTTAAGATGAAATTTTAGTTGTAAGAAGTTGTTTAGTTGTAAACCATATTTAGTTGTTCAGTTGTAAACCACATTAGCTCGGTCCAATATTAACAACACGGCACTACATGTAACGTTATGTACTAATCTAAATCAAAAAAGTTATAGCGCAAAGAATTGTCGACTATTCTACATCACTCTTCCTCAGAGTTCAAGTGACCAGTAACCCGTGACCTTACGGCCATCCAATCAGGTAACACCAGCCTTCAATCAACAGAGACGGCGGGCGATATAAACTCCCTGTCAGTTATGACCAACTACTAGCGTCATGTGACGTGTAGTCGATAATATTGGTCACTTTGAATCTCAGACTGCAGTAGGTGGGTCGGAAATCCAACACGTTATGTGCAAATTTGTGAAGGAACAAATCTTCAGCTGTTAGTGACCAACACAAGCGAACTTTGATGCTCACAACTGTACCTAGTGTGAGCAGCTATACGAACTGGGTCATTATCGTCCGATGTCTCGTGGGCTATTACGTTACATTACCACTATTGACTTTCCCAACGCACGTGCCAGGTAAAAAAAATATAAACCCTAACGTAATATATGACATATCGATATTAATTGTATATATCTATATGTATATAACGAGTGATTATTATATACGAAAAATCCAAACGCTGCAAACCATATAATATCTCTTTGTATCCCTCTGTTATTCTCTCTCTCTCTCTCTCTATAGATATATATATAGAGAGAGAGATAGAATAACATATATATATATATATATATATATATATGAGAGAGAGAGAGAGAGATACATAGAGAGATTATGGTTTGTAGCGTTTGGATTTTCGTACATGTATATAATCATTATTCGTTGATATGTAATATCAATAATAACAATCGAAATCGAATATAATATATCAGAGGTTGTCAGGATAGGATGATACGTAAAAAGGTAAGCCCATAATAAGCATGATGACCTTTCCAACAGTTATCACATTAAGTGATCATCAGCTTGTTCCAGTGATACAGTGAGTCACTGTTCGCGGGATCGGACGTGACTTGAATGCACACGTCTGTGTGAAACCCCCCATTTTTGGTCCCCACTATTTAGTATATTTACTCAGCGAATCAGCTGTTGACAGGAAGTTATTCGTAGCTGACATTGTTTTCACGAGTTCCACCAAAAGCCAAAACAACTGTAACGTCTGTCAATATACGTTCAGAGACTCAGACGTTCAATCAAAAGTAACGGCAGCCTAGCGGGTCATTATTATCAATTTAGGCGGGGGGGCTGAGCTCGCAACGCAACGCAACCTAATAACAAAACGCAACACAACAGTTAGCGCATTTATAGAAGAAATGCCATATTTCATGACTAGAGCGCTTGTTTTTTTAGTTTACCTGTGAGGGACAAACCACCAAAATTCCGCATTCAGACGACACCCACTTCCTCAGGAAAAATTAAACACAGGACAGCCCAGCGCTCAGCCTCTTGCTGCTGGTGGGGGGGCAGCGGCTTATCAAATACAGGTTCCGGGTCAGAGGTGAAATCCGTGTGAAGGGTAATTCAATACCCAAAGCGCAGCGTTTGAAAACATGCAGCCTCTAGAAACGATGCTAAAGAATCCTTATGTCAACCTTCGCCAAGAAGGTTATGTTTGTGTTCGTACGTGTGTGTGTGTGTGTGTGTGTGTGTGTGTGTGTGTCTGTGTTTGTGTACGTGTGTGTCCACGTCTATCAGTATTAGTAATGGAGAAGGCTTGGTAAGGCTTGGACAGGATAACTGAGTGTGTTAACGTTATATAAATGTCAATTGTCCTGATATTTTGTAGGCGGGTTTTGAATCGAGAAGACATCGAATTGGTTAGATTTTGCCCCCTTCCTCGCTAATATAATTTAAACTTTTGCCGAGAGGTAAATATGTTTTCGTGGCTGTGTGTTGTAAATAGCATGACTCGGGAAGGCTTAGATGAATTATCATAATATTTGGTCGGTGGGTAGGTGTTAATGAAAGCTCGAAATTATTAGATATTGGCCCCCTGGAGACTTGTTATGGCACTGCAGCGCTGCGGAGCTTTAGGTTCATGCTTATTGCACGATGGGCTGAGCATTTGTGCTCGGGAAGAAGTGATGTGTTAGTAGGACCGGCCTCTAGCAGCTTTTCTGGGAACTGCAGGGGCGTTTGTTTGAAAGTACTAAAGACCACAGGTCGTGTTTACTTCAAATTAGATGGGCTTTCAAATATAGCTTTATGATGAAGTTTAGTTGTATAAAAGTATACGTAGTGCTGGTAAACCACGTGAACGTGAGCTCGGCCCACGGCACCATGTATTGATCTAAATTCAAATCAAAAAGTTAAAGCGCAAAGAATTGTCGACTGTCCTACAGCACTCTTCCTCAGATTTCAAGTGACCAGTACCCCGTGACCTTACGGCCATCCAATCACGTAGCACCAACCTTCAATCAACAGAGACGGCGGGCGATATAAACTACCTGTCAGTTATGACCAACTACTAGCGTCATGTGACGTGTAGTCGATTGGTCATTTGGAATCTCAGACTGCAGTAGGTGGGTCGGAAATTCAATACGCTATGTGCAAATTTGTGTAGAAACAAATCTTTACCTGTTAGTTCCCAACATAAGCGAACTTTATCTTGAAAGTTCATCTGTGTTGGTAGAAGTCAATATGCAGAAAGTTTAAACTGTAATTTCCAACACAACAAATTGGACTCACTCAAATTTTGGACTGTACAATTCCAGTCTTTGTCAAGGAATGGGCAATCCACCGCTTCTGTGTCGTCACGCAGATAACACTTCAGTCTCACTGGACAAAGTAAGAATCCTGGACTCAAAACCGGATTTCTTTGCACGAGGGATTAAAGAGGCCATCTACATCAGGGCATTACAACCACCCCTCAGCAGAGACGGGGGGCGCCACAGACCTTGCAGCCTTTGACCCACTGCTCACGGAGTCACGTGTGTTATCTGCGTGACGTCATGGAAGCGGTGGATTGCTCATTCCTTGACAAAGACTGGAGTTGTACAGTCGAAAATTTGACAAAGACTTGAGGTGCACAGTCGAAAATTTGGGTGAGTCCAATTTCTTGTGTTGGAAATTACAGTTTAAACTTGCTGCATACAAGTGAACTTTGATGCTCACAACTGTACCTAGTGCATGTGAGCAGCAATACGAACTGGGTCATTATCGTCCGATGTCTCGTGGGCTATACATGGACACTATTGATTGTCCCAACGCACGTGCCAATAATAATCATATAAACCATGACGTAATATATGACATATTGATATTAATATTATAGATATTATCTACATATATTCAGTTCGCAGTCAATCATCCAGTTGGCAAATTTAAATCATCTCTCTCTCTCTCTCTCTCTCTCTCTATATATATATATATATATATATATATATATATATATATATATATTTAACTGTAATATGTAAATTTGGAGAGAGACAGAGAGATTTGGATTTTCGTATATAATAAGTAGTCGTTAATGATAAAAATCGAAAAAGAATACTACATATGCGCTTGTCAGGATTGGATGATACGTAAAAAGGTGAGCCCATAATAAGCATGACCTACTAGTATCTAACCGCATCAATCAGTGAGTCACTGTTCACGGGATCGGACGTGACTTGAATGCACACGTCTGTGTGAAACCCCCCATTTTTGGTCCCCACTATTTAATAGATTTACTAAGCGAATCAGCTGTTGACAGGAAGTTATTCGTAGCTGACATTGTTTTCACGAGTTCCACCAAAAGCCAAAACAACTGTAACGTCTGTCAATATACGTTCAGAGACTCAGACGTTCAATCAAAAGTACGGCAGCCTAGCGGGTCATTATTATCACTATAACATTTAGTGGGGGGGCTGAGCTCGCAACGCAACGCAACCTAATAACAAAACGCAACGCAACACAACAGAAGCGCATTTATAGAAGAAGAAATGCCATATTTCATGACTAGAGCGCTTGTTTTTTTAGTTTACCTGTGAGGAAGAAACCACCGAAATTTCGCATTCCGACGACACCCACTTCCTCAGGAAAAATTAAACACAGGACAGCCCAGCGCTCAGCCTCTAATGCTGCTGGTGGGGGGGCAGCGGCTTATCAAATACAGGTTCCGGGTCAGAGGTGAAATCCGTGTGAAGGGTAATTCAATCCCCAAAGCGCAGCGTTTGAAAACATGCAGCCTCTAGAAACGATGCTAAAGAATTCTTATGTGTGTGTGCAAGGTGTGTGTGTATGTGTGTACGTATGTGTGTTTGTGTGTACGTGTGTGTCCACGTCTATCTGTATTGATACTGGAGCTCGGTTGGGTTAAGGCGGCCTAGGCTGATATTCATGTTCGAGTTCCGCCGTGTGTCTGCACGATTGCCACAAACATGTTTCGAACCCGAATCATGTTCCACCATGTTCGATATGACGTCATTCGAATAGAACGTGTGTTCGAATTCGGGGTTACCGGCGGTCATTTGTATGTTTCCCCTGTAAACCCGCGTTGTTACGCATTTTATTCACGGAGTATGACTTAAACGGCTTTACGCCCAGCTGAAAACAACATAATTCATCTTTAGAGTAATCCATGTTTACGTATTATCATTTTTTTATCAAAATTGTCCGAGGCTATTTTGCATATAAGTCGAAATTTTTTAACTGTGGCGATTATTTAACAAAAAATGACAGAAAAATAGCCGTTTCTGTCGTTTTTGGCCCAAAAAAACAATGTAACTGTCATTTAAAACAAAATAGCCTCGGACAAAAATAATAAATAGGGGGTTGGCTTTCTACTTGCAAAATATCATGATGAAAGGTGTTGTTACCGCTTGGGCGTAAAGCCATGAAGTAAACAGCTTTTTTTTAACCAAAATGTTGATTTTTAACCCAAAAATTCAGAAGTAGTAAAAACAAAATAACCTTTATTCAATGTGTTTCAAGTACTACTAGAACTGTGTGAAGTTAAGTTGTGATGCGACCAAGCTATCAAAAGTTACAGCCATATGTATGAAATACTAATTATAGTTGGCCATAGGCTGCCTTGGTAAGGCTTGGACAGGATAACTGAGTGTGTTAACGTTTTATATAAATGTCAATTGTCCTGATATTTTGTAGGCGGGTTTTGAGAAGACCTCGAATTGGTTAGATTTTCCCCCTTCCTCGCGGCTAATATAATTTAAACTTTTGCCGAGAGGTCGAGATAATGGCTGTGTTTGTAAAAAAACTTTAATAGCATGACTCGAGAAGGCTTAAATGAATTATCGTAATATTTTGTCGATGGGTAGGTGTTAATGAAAGCTCGAACTGGTTAGATATTGGCCCCCCGGCGACTTGTTATGGCACTGCAGCGGAACCTTAGGTTCACGATGGGCTGAGCTCTTGTGCTCGGGAAGAAGTGATGTAAGCCTTAGTAGGACCGGCCTCTAGCAGCTTTTCTGGCAACTGCAGGGGCGTTTGTTTGAAAGTACTAAAGACCACAGGTCAAGCCAACAGGAATCATTGGCTTCACCAGCATGATGTCAATGATAGTATACATGTATTAATGCCTTTAGAATTTACATTGTGGCGCCTCCGGGAACATTACCGCTGCACTTGGCGTGGATAACGCAACTAGCATTTTGATTGATTGGATTTGTTCATCCATACGGGTATTTATATATTTCATATTTCATATATGTACATGAATTATGATAATGCGGTGGTATTGAATTCCGTGTTAAGCATTGTAACTAATCAAACTTACCACCATAATAAAAAAAAAACGTCAAGTTTAATGATCCAGCATGGCGGACAATATAATTACGTCATGGACACGTGAGCGCAAACACCCAATAGCCGGTCAGAGAAGGGCATGGCCAACTTGTTTTCCTGCATGTCCTCCAGTCCTCTGGTTGACGACATGGTGACAGGTCGACAATGTCCCATTCCTAGTATTTTCATGCCATTTTATTTTAGTAGCAAATGGACTAGTGGGTAGAGTGCCGAGGTCTATAATTATTATGTAGCTTCAACACTCGGTATCTCGCGAGCACATACTCATACATTATGTGACATCGTTTAAGAGAGCGTCTGTGGTCACCCCTGACACAGACCCAGGAGATCTACATCGAGGCGAGGTCTGGAAGTAATCGTGTTGGTTGTCAAACATGGCGGGCCGACTACACTGCTGTCACCGCACCGCTAATGCCCCGCACACCGGGCCGGTTCAGCTAGTTCTGTGCCAGCGCGCGCGTCATGTGCGAGCACCGCCCTGATTGGCTGTCACTTGACCTCGATAACTCTCATGAGGTGGCGGAGTAGGAGTGAGTCAGGCCGCCACAGTTCCGAAAGAACCTCGGCTGGTTTGTCTGTTGTCTCGAGGAGGATCATCTATTTTCTTACCTCCTTGGTTGTATCAACCTCTCTGACAGTAGTTCTGGTAGGGTGCCCGACCCACGCACTAGCCTAGCGCACTGGGTGGAGTGTCCCTGAGTTTCCGACGGAACGTTTTTGCCCGGCCGCCGGTGGCACTACGGAGTGTCAGATAGCACCTTGCCGAAAAAAAATGGCCTCCGCTAGATCCGTGTAGAGAAAAAGCGGTTATAGAGATAGAACCTCCTTGGCAATGCAATAAAAAAGCATAGATGACCACGTTGACCATCCCCTCATGTAACTGTGAGGGTCAATATAAGCATTAAATGCCGACCCCTTTCTAAACCACACAGAAATGTCATGGAGCAGTTTACACGTATCAATTTAGCAGTAAACTTTCAAAAATCCACGGAGCAGTAAAGTTATAACTGTTACACAATCATCTATAAAAATTTGACCAGGATGCACGCACTTTCGGGAGCACAGCTCATTTGCATGATAGTGTCACGTGGCCCCGCTGTAGCGCTACCACTGTCCAATGGGAAACGAGTATCGCCATTAGCTCCGCCCACAAGTCGGCCATTTTGTGTGAGTGTTATCAGCTTCGGAAGTCTCACACGTCGTGCAGATTTTTGCCAATTTTGAGGAATTTTTGAGGTATGTATGTCATATTCTCAACATAATTGTATTTCTCGTAAGTAGCTTAATCCAAATTATTAGTTTGGGGCGCCTCTTGAGTGTTTAATGGGGTTACAAATACATTTCTTTGTGCCCAACTTTTGGGTGGTCTTTGTCAGGTTGGCGGCCATCTTGGTTTTGTACTCGGCTCTGATTCTGCTGCCTGACAGCGCACTAATTTTTCAAATTTACGTAAGATCGAAGGTTTTGCCAACCACAGGGTGAACTTTTGTTGTTTGAAGTATCTCAGTGAACAAATGAATCGATTATAATTTGCTTTCGGTCATGTTTTCTCATTTTAAGTGATGACACTCCTGTCACTGTTTCAGAAGAAGGGTGATCGCACTCAGGGGTGATCGTGTGCATGCACGCCGTAGCTCATTTGCATACGCAAATACAATGCAGCGGGCCTTGCGATACGTCAATCAAATGTTGTGCGACCTGTTTGTTATTCCGTAGCGGGCTGGCAGGCGGTAAATTACGTTTTGTGCAGTGACGCGGGCAAGTAGCCGGGGTACCGTCCTGGTTACTACTCTAGTACTAAGTACGTCCGCTCCCGCGGTCGCTACGGCCCTAAACCAACCAGGATGGTACCCAGGCTAGAGGGCAAGCCTAAAGACGGTAGACGGGCCGCATGCCAAAATCTACCGCGGTTCTTTTGGGAATGAGGCCTGGTTCACGAATCTCGCGTAGGCCCGCGTAGTACTTTAGTACTAGTAGCCCAGTGTCAAAAAGCGGCGGCAAAACTGGATTTTCAAAGTCAAATTTTCTGGTCATTCCTATAGTTAAACCAATTTTATCCCATATGCTTAGCACTATCTGTAAGGCAAAAATGCAATTTAGTTGACAGAAAATTGGTTGTTGGTTTTGTATTGAAGGTGGCCAGGCCATTTCAAGTTATTTCTGGGTGATACCACAAAAATAAAGATGTGGCTTGTTTTATTTCACACACTTTAAGTATGAAACGATAACGGAAATGTGCTAAGAAATGAGAGTAAATGTCAAAATATTAGCAGACAGACTTCCTCCCCCAGAATATTTTTGTTTTGCCGCCCTAAAATTTTATTTAAAAATTAAAAACTCCTACTGGACAAAGCCTGGTTATGCAAGGGTTATGACATCCACATATAGGGTGCACATATAGGGCAGCTGGTGGAAGTAGTTTTGCTTGAAATAAAAATATTGTGTAACAACAAAAGAAAATTTGTGCTCTGATAATTTGTCGAAACTTGTAGGAGTGTAATGTAAATGACTAAATCACTTTTATGTAATGGTTTATTTGTAGCAAAATTTCGCATCTTCTAGGAAAAATTGACATTTTTGCGAAACTATATGTTCGCGGTGGCGGCAAGTGCAGAAGAAAAATTTGGCATATGATTTGTTTGTACACAAAAATAATTTAAGTTGTAACAAATATAAATTTAAAGTACTGCAAACAATCATGATTTATATGTACAGTATTTTTTAATGTAATTATTTTGCAGACACAGTGACAGGTGGTCACCATGGACCTGTGTATGGAGTGTGAGGATGAGGAGTTGGACCCGTGGCAGATGCCAGCTGAACCGGAGCCGCCACCTGCTAAACCTGCAGCTGCAGCACCTGAACCACAGTCTATAACCCCACAACCACCTCCACTCAGACCAGCTGTACAACAGGTGTGGATGGGCATGGTTCTCAGGCCTAGAAAGAAACTACAAACGTAACATTTGCAAAGCAAATCAGGGCTCAAAATTCATTTTTGGGAATAGGTGCAAAAAATTGGGTGCACAAAAAACTTTTTGGGTGCACCATATAAGTAGAATGTCAGCAAAAACTGATGATTTTATTATCTTATTGACCCTTAGTTACAAAGAATACATGTATGCTGGATACTACTAATATATACATTCAACATCTATACATATCTGTATTTACTATCTGTATAACTGGTATAACCGCCATTCGGCATAACACATCATCACATACGAATACCTAAACCTACGAAAATATTTGGGTGCACTGGTGTCTGTTAATTCTTACTCAAACACATTCATAATATTATATGGTGACAGAAGTCTAAATCCTTCCTGCTATAAAAGTGCAACATGATGTAACCCAACACTAGTTACCATGGTAACAAATGTTGGTCCTGGTTGTTGACCTTATTTGTTTAGAACAGAAGTCTTAGAAGAGGAAGAAGAAATAGAGCAAAAACAAATTCCTGTTTTTCTGTTTCTTCTCTTTCCTGTTTCCTGACCGACCCTACAAAAAAAACTGTCCACTAGCCTTTTTTGTGTGGACCCCTGCAAGGGACAAACATTTTCGATCTGATTGACTTTTCCTAGCACCATGAACTGACATCAGCATCATTTGTCACCTGAGTGATAAAACATTATAAAATTGGTTTTCCGAAATTGACATTAAATGTGTCTTTAGGCCTCACCAATTTAATTTCTTGGTTAACGGATTCGCCCATTTCATTTTTTTTTCTGATTTGCATTTATAAAAATAAAAATTCAGAATCAACTGCAAAATGCTCATATTTTGCCCTGAACAGTTGAAAACAGTCCTTTTCTTCCTAGTTGTTACAGTTATTCCATATTTCAATGCAATGGTATCATTAAAAGTTCAAAATTCATTGTTCAAATTTTGAACCAGCCTGGTGTGTTGGTTTTAATGGCTCCTATCGTGCCATTTTGGGCCATGATAAGATGTGCCTAGGCCTGTTTTTATTTTATTTTTTTTCTCGCCCTGCTGCTCCATTATTTTTCTAGAAAAATCTGTTAACCAAGAAATTAAATTGGTGTGGCCTTATGCAAGTTTTACTTTGTTAAGCTGGATTGTACAACTTTTTCTTTCTCTCCTTCTCCAGACAACTATCACTCAGCAGCCGAATGTTCTTCCACCACCCCCTCCACTCACCCCAAGCCCTGCTGTGCAACAGATGGCCAACTCTACCATCATCCAACAGCCAACTCAGGTCAGTAGGGTATAGGGTAATGCTGTTTGTGTGTTTGTGTTTGCCTGTCTCTGTGTGTGTTTGTGTGTTTGTAGTCAGCAAAAACTCAAGAATTTGTACTGATTGATTTACATATGATATTTAGTATGTACCGGTAGGTAGGTGTTTGCCAAACTAAGGGCAAGTTCGAATATGGGCCTCCTGCTGCCCTAAGTACAGTTTTCCAAGTCCTACAGCAATATTTAAAAAAAAAATATCCCATGTATACATGTACTGGATATGTCATGGACATAATGTTTTAATGGTATATAGCTTTTGGTTCATCATAAATTAAAAAAAAACAAGTTGTTTTGACTCGGGCCTAGTATTGGAACAGCAGAGCCTTAGTATTTGTTTGAGACTAGAATGGAAGGTGAGCTCTCAAAGGGTTAACAGATTGCTATCATTTTTGTATGTGTACTAGATGCATATGATTGACATTATCATAATTGAACACTAATTTTGATCATGAGCTCATTTGCCCAGTACATTCAAATCTGTACAAGACCACCTGTATGCAATGACCACCTGGCCAATGTAAACTCCCTGGTGGTTTGGTAGATTTTTTTTTTAATTGTCAAATTGACAAAAAAAACAAAAACATGTAAAGTGACCACCTGCCCTTACAATGTATATACATGTGGAAATATTTCTATGGTTTATGACTTGAACATGAGTATGACTGAAAAAATGTTAGTTAACAGAAATAATATAAGGAAGCTTTATTTTGAATTTTTTTTATCATAAGGTTTTTTTCCTTTTAGGACCAAAGTGCAGTAGAACTGTTGATACACATGTGCATATAACTTTAATACTACATGAACAATCATGTTAAAAGAAAGGCATACTAAAAGTCACTCTAAAACATTGAATTTTCCTGTCTCCTAGGCACAACCTGTTAGCACAGTATCCCAGAAGGCTGTGGGGCAGATTTCCCAGCATGCCACACAAATTGTTACCCAGAAGTCTGCTGGACCTGTGAAAATTGTTACCCAGAATTCCTCCACATCTCAAACCACCCAGCCTATTCTCATCAACCTAACGCCACAGGTAAAGATTTCTGAGGTGGTGTTTCAGCTATCATGTTTTCATTCATGGGTTGTGGTGCTAGAAATACCCATCTGCAAACTGCACTTGCAGAGACAGTTTCAAAATTGTAGAATAAAACTTAAGAAACAAGCAATTTTGCAGACTGAAAAGATCAGGGTATAGCTATATAAATGGTGTCAGTATAATATTAATATCAATAGCTTTTGTGTTTACATGTAATACTGACTCTAAAAATAGTAAAATGTACACGTTACTACTACTACATGTAGTACTAGTTATTTTGCATATACTTTTCAAATTGCATGTAAAATGGTTATGAACATGCAATTTTATATAGGACATTTCATTGGGTTTAGTTCTAGACTTAAGTATTTCTGCATCTAAAGTATTTCTGAATTGCAGAACAAAATTCTTTAATATTGCAAAAAAAGTTTTCTAGCTGTGACTAGATCGCTTTTCATGGGAACACACACTGAAAACTTGGCATCCAATCGGATTCTCCAAATCACCAGTGTCTTAACCAATCAGAAGTGTCCAGCAAGTGTAGATTGTGTGTCGTGGTGTGGAAGAGTTTAGATATTTCCTCTAGACCTTATATTAGTTCAAGTTATATATAATGTCTTCATTCCTGCTCTGATTCTACAGTCCTATCAAGTACACTTCATACTTCAGTGAATTTTTTAATTTCATTTTGATACACAACAGTTGTTTTTCCAGTAAAATCACTCTTATAGTACAAGCTTTAACCCTTAATCTTATTCTGCCTAAAGGAGACATTTCAGTAGGGCAGTAGTAAGGCAGTGCCCTCTAACTGAGGGGGGAAATACGTGTAAAGCGCCTTTCCCAAGAGCACAATGTTTGGATGCATGTCCGGACATGTCTGGGTCCAACCCTGGGGATTGAACCTGGGTCCCCTTGCTTGACAGTAGGATGCTCTATCCACTACACCACACAGACGCCACAATTTTTTTTTTGCCAAGTACAGTGCCCACTTTAATTGTACTGTTGTAAATGTATGTACGTACCAAAAAGAATGTATGTTACAGTAACATACATTCTTTTTGGTACGTACATACATTTTTTGGTTGGTACAATGTACATAGAGTAGCAGAAACCCTTTATACGCCATGCCATCACCGTGATGCCAGGCCATGGTATGGCCAGGCCAGACCAGAAGTCAATGCCATCACATCAAAATTCTGTATAAGCTCTTAACAAACGAAAAAAAAAGTTACTCAATAATGTGCTAATCAATGCATATCAGAATGATTTCCTCCTTCAGAATATTATTTGTGTTGCTTCCCTAAAATTGCACTGATGCATTTAACATGGTTCAGCATCTCTCAGCGGCTGTGTGACGTCTCTGCTTGTATGATTTCTCTTGATTTTTCTGTCCTCTTTCAGATGTGACAAATCTGTGTTTCGTGCAGGTGCAGTACATTCTGCTGACATGCTTACTAAAGTAAAATGTGTCCGCGCAGATACTGTGAATCACTTTATATTTGCGGTACTTTATATTTCTTGTTTTACAGTTGCTTCTGTACCGTGAATTTATTATGACCACAAACAAATTATATAAATTCCAGGGGATTCATTCCTCAAGCTAACCAACATCTTGCACACGCAGTCGTCCCTCAGTAAGACATCTGGAGATTATGACCACGAACAAATACTTTTGTTTGTTTGTTTGTTTGTTTTGCATAACCGGTAAACTGCCTTTAGGCGTAACACACCAGTTTCGTACATGTTCACACATGTACAAGCTGCATAAGACCGGACTGTAAGGTTTGAACCACTCACACCGGGAAGGTCCCCTACTCTTTTTGATAAGTGCGGTAGGTTCACTTCTTTAACGTACATGGGGTATAGCTCTTCCCAATCACGGGACCTCCATTTAACGTCCTATCCGAGGGACGTCCCTAACCAAAGCCAGGAACTCATTTACACCTGAGTGAAGTGAGGAAAGTCTTGTAAAGTGTCTTTCTCAAGGGCGCAAGATTGGTGACATGGGCAGGGTTCGAACCCGCGACCTCTTGGATGTGCCCATGTCACCTGGTGAGTCGAACGCGCTACCGACTGCGCCACATGACCCCACTTTGCTGACTTTCTTTCTTCTGCGGTGCACCACTGTAAATACATATAGTTCTGTGGACATGTCCATTTTTATCAGAATGCCAAATTCACTACCATGAATATAAAGTGATTTACAGTATGCATAAATGAGGTATTTTGAATATGATTTTGAGCCCTGTCAAGGGTCTTCCCAGAAATTCTTCGGGGAGAGGTGCTCCCTATATAATCGGTTGATGAAAAATCAGCATATTTTAAAAAAGATAGTAAAAGAAAACCTAGATTTGAACATTTCTGGAGAGGTGCTTGGGTGGATAACTGGGTGGATAACTCTTGTGGACAGTTTAGTTACCCCGACGGCAGGACAGACTGCTATGGGACCGGTGAGGTGAGGAGGCTTGGATTTTGGGGAGAGGGGGAGCACCCTTGCTTCATTGCTTGGGGAGAACCCTGCCTGTATTTCATCATTTCACCCCTGAATGTCTAACTGTTGATCGTCCAGCAGGGTACATCCCAGCCCACCTACCTCATGCCAGCCACCCAGCCTGGCGGACAGTCGTACTATCTCATGCCGCTCAACGTGACAGGTGTGCCCACTCTGCAGACAGTCAGCCCCAGCCCGGTCATGCTGCAGCAGGTGCCCAACATTGTACAGCCGCAGAACGTCACCATCGTACGGCAGCAGGTGCCACAGATTCTACAGGTGTCACAGCCTGCACCTGGTATGTAGCTGTTTATCATATGTTTACTTTCTTCTTCTTCTTCCGTTCGAAACAAGTAAGGTCATTGAACTTGACCAGACGTCTGTCACCATGGTAACTGGTGATGAAGCCTGTGGTGTTGGGTTGCATGTACAATAATATTATGTACATAGCAAAAGAGACTAGGAGGGACTGCTCGCCATATAGTATGATTTTATTTTTATTTGGATGATTTTGAGTAAAAATAACTAGAGCAGATTTTCTGGGGAGATCCCTGTCATACATGTAGTCTATTTCAAATGCTTTAAACTTAAAGTTTAAGTATGAAAATTCTGCTAAGAAATGGCAGTGCTAGTAGTAAATATCTGATTCCATATTTTCTAATACAGAATCCTTTTTTGGTTTGCCACCCTAAAATTGTATTGGATGCGTTTCAATGCTATTCATTATGCAGTCAGTAAAATAATTAAAATGAAGAATGTTACATGATTGTAGAAATTTTCTTAAATTCTTTTATTCAAACTTTATTCAACAAAGACAATGCCATACAAAATAAACTAGAAAATTAACAATTGCAAAGCAAATGCATAATGTTTACCATTATATATGGTTTGCTATGTTGATTTTTACTCAAACACATTCAGATACATGTATATGGTGACAGGAGTCTAAATGCCTACTATAGAATTGCACTTTTTGTTGTGCTTACAAATGTTTTTAGCAGTCGCAATATTTTTTCTAGTCTAGGTAACATCTGTGTCCATAATATCACCAGGGTCCATAAAATCGCCACCTTGACAAACAGTGTGCTTAAAGATATTTTTACTGCAACATACCCTAGGTATGTACATTTGATGTGTTAAGGAGTGCATACCAAAAGTATGTTGCAGTAAAAATATCTTTAAGCACACTGTTTCTCAAGGTGGTGATATTATGAACCCTGGTGATATTATGGACAGAGATGTTATATGTTAAATGTCTACATCAGATTGTAGATTAGTTACATGATTGTAGATATTTTTTTAATTATTGTTTCAGCTTAATGCTATTCATTATGCAGTAAGTAAAACAATCAAAAGGAAGAAAGTTACATGATTGTAGATATATATATATTTTTTATTTTGTTTCAGCTCCTGCCTCCACAATGGTACAAGTCATACAGAGCACAACTCCAAGTATGACAACATCAGCCTCCTCCCAGCTGAAAACCTTTGCGAACCAAGCGACCAGTAACGTAGCCAAACCCCTCTACAAGCTGGTAACAAACAATCAGGCACCCGGCAAGACTATCCAGGTCACCCGACCTATAACAGTAACAAATACTTCCACAGCCACCATCAACCAAGGACCTCCGTTAAGACCAGCAATGCTTTCACAGAGTAAACCAGCAACAGCTGCCCACCCGGTAAAAATCACACAGGCACAGCCAAATCCTGTAGCGGCCACCACAAGTCAGATTAGACAAGTTGCGCAGGCACGGACTAACCCTGCAATGGCCACCCCTGGGCAAGTTCAAGCTACACAGCCGCAAAAAAACACAGTTCAAGAGACTTCTGCCAAGGTAAGGGTTGCCTTTATGTAAAATTGATACCTACAAAACAGATCTCAAATAATTCCTATCTATAAATTCCATCAAAAGTCAATCGCAAAACGTGATTAAAAGTTGTGCACTTCTTTTTTAAGTCATGTTTGGGAAAGGGATGGTACATGATAGTTCAGGGTGGGGCAGTTTTTCAGCACCAAGGAAAGGGATGGTACATGATAGTTCAGGATGGGGGATTGTCTTTCAGCACCAAGGAAAGGGATGGTACATGATAGTTCAGGGTGGGGATTGTCTTTCAGCACCAAGGAAAGGGATAGTATGTGATAGTTCAGGGTGGGGATTGTCTTTCAGCACCAAGGAAAGGGATAGTATGTGATAGTTCAGGGTGGGGATTGTCTTTCAGCACCAAGGAAAGGGATAGTACATGATAGTTCAGGGTGGGGGGTTGTCTTTCAGCACCAAGGAAAGGGATGGTACATGATAGTTCATGGTAGGGGATTGTCTTTCAGCACCAAGGAAAGGGATAGTACGTGATAGTTCAGGGTGGGGGGTTGTCTTTCAGCACCAAGGAAAGGGATGGTACATGATAGTTCATGGTAGGGGATTGTCTTTCAGCACCAAGGAAAGGGATGGTGCATGATAGTTCAGGGTAGGGGATTGTCTTTCAACACCAAGGAAAGGGATGGTACATGATAGTTCAGGGGGGAATGGTCCTTAGCACCAAATTTTACTTGGGGCAACTTATTTTTAAACCTCGGTAGCCCAGTGTGTTACCTGAATTTTGAGAATCCCCCCCCCCC